TTTCTTGCAAACTCGTCCGAAGCAATTTTCTCGCTTCACACTCCACCTTTTTGGATCGGACTTGAACTGCTGCGTTCGTTAGGAGCCGTGCTCTCAAACTGTGTCAAGACTCCAATGCCCCCAAGTTGACCTGGACAATGCCTTTAAGACGATGTTTGGTGCGGGAAGATGCGTCCAGTGCTGCGTGCTAGCGCCGTGCCAGCACGTACGCGTGCTTCGTATCGATCGATCGCTGTTCTGGTACGGTTTGCGTGACAACTTTGGACACATCCTACCTTGTTCTTTCTAACGAACTGGGATTTGAGCGCTGAAATCTTGCTGAGGTAGAAAATCTCAAGCGGTTTTGTAGCTGGGAGAAAGGAGAATCAGTAAGGAACTAAAAATAGAGCGGTAATTTCGTGTTAAAGGTGGTCGTTGTGCTAACCAACTTACAACAATCAAACTCGCCGCAGAAAATGCACATATGCTTGGCTCAGCTCATACATCGCAAAAAACCGAGTAGATTACTTGAGCATCTTTATTTTACAGCCCAGCTATTATGGAAACTTTGCGAAGCTTTCTCCAGACGCTTCGATCAACTATACTCCTTACGAATATGGCAGCTATATGCACTACGGATCCAATACGTATGCAAGACTCTAGTCAGGCTATATTCTAACAAATGCATAACAGATATGCGACTGCTGGTCATTCGCTCATTCCTCATGAGCCGTCGTATTTACGCACACTTGGATCGCGAGTGATCTCTTTTTATGATATCAAAGCGATCAACGATCATTACGGCTGCAGTGGTAACTTCAGAAAATAGATTGGCACCATGCAAATGTTAAATCTTCCAGCTCTTTGTGGAGCTGGATCCGCTGCCTGTGGTAATGGAGGTGTGCCAAATCCAAGGAACTGCGCAGCCTGCATCTGCCCAAATGGATATGGAGGTGCCCTCTGCAATCAAAGGGTATAAATTCCAGACTTTTATCGCTTCGATGTGTCTTTTGTCTTCCCAGACCATTGCCGCATAAAAGACGGAAACTTACTAGCGTACTTTTCCGTTGCTTGAACCCATTGAAAGGATCTCATGATCTTCTGTCTTTTCATTTCGAATCTCCATATTCATGCAAATGAGACCATTCGAAAGGGAATTTTTCGTACATTCGAATGCGAATTTAAATAGAGTTAAAACCAGATACTCGTAGTGGATGAAAATTCTGAATCTTCGCTCTTTTTTGTGCAATTCTCAACGAACTAGTGAATAAGTTGAGTTAACCCGATAAATATTCAATGAGGCTGGTAAAGATCATAGAGCCATCTGGAATACGATAATCGTTGACTCATTATATCTCTAAAAATAAGGAGAATTCAAGATTAAAAAGTAAACTAGGCTTTTGTTACATCAAGTCTATGTCGGCTAAGAATCATTAGCGAAATTCGCATTTATTTCCTTTTTCCTAATTTTCCAAGGCAGAAATAAGTCAAGGACTTCGTATTAGCTAAAACTTCTTACCCAACACCTTAAAGGGAGAGAACAAATGGAAAAAATTTCGGGGCAAAAAAAAAACAAGTAGGAAAATTTTCTGAAAATGTGAGAGATCGCAACTATTGCAGTTGTTTACAAATTGTGACTGTAATAAACGAAAAATTTTGGAAACCTAAAGTTTGCCGGTCAGAAATTTAAGCTAATGAATAAATCTAGCAAAGGTTGGCTCATGCTGCTTCTGGTAGTAGGCTGCTACACACATCTACGCCAAGTTCTCTAAAACAATGTCGATAAAAGAAATGAGTTTTTTTTTCAAAATGGAATTACTCTGGCAACCTGGCAACACTGTGGTTAATCACTTCGCGAAAGAATTATCAAATTGAAAATTCATCCGCCAAAGAACGCTACCGTTATGCGAGTAGTCGATCTTCAGTCATATACGATTATTTTCATCTTTCAATAATTATATTTTTCAAACATTATTTGCAGCCGGCCGGATGTGGCGAAGCGCTCACAGCTAGCAATTTATGGAAAGTAAAAAAGTTTACTTTTGGTGATGCCACGGTCAAAACACTTCGCGATACTTACACGCTCTGTAATCACTGGATTTCTGTAAGTTCGGCAACCAGGATTCACTTTAACCAAAAGCTGCTAAATTCTACCATCATAGGCTCCTACTGGGAAGCGAATCCAGATTCGAGTCACCTTTATGAACGAACAGAAATGTGGGACTGGCTGCAGGGTAAACTCCATCGAGCCGAAAGTCATTGCCGACAAGAGGATAACCAATCCGAGGTAAAATGTCCTATTTCTTCACATTGATATGAAATTCTACATCTTCAGGATCTGCTGTAATGACATGTTGAACTATGTCGTCACTAGCCAACTCAATCCTACGCCAATAATCTCGTACAACAGACTTTTCACCACAACATTCACATTCCATTACAGATACATATAATTGTGCATCTATCTATGTGCCATTTTATACGAAGCACCAGCTGTGATATGATGATATGTCTTGATTGAAATGTCTATCGAACGTTCGATGATTTAATTATTTTGTTATTTTCTACCTCACGTATTTCTATGAGC